AAAATCCGCCTTCTGATGGTTTTCCGCACTACGAAAGTGTTGCTTGAGGACACAAAATCTAAAGGAATCACGTGTTCCATCGCTAATATAAAATTGACAGCTTTTGAAGCACTTTGCGATTGTGATGAAGCGTCTGCTGCCTTGCGAGAACATAATCTGTGGTTACTACGCAATCCTCGAAGGCGGCCTTGGTTTTCCACGGTTCGTTTCTATACGAAAAAGGCGTAGAGAAACTGGAAACACATTTTTCTTAAAGGGTTCTGTCGCCTTACAAAACAATGAAGTATGCGCAAACTGCATAAGGATTTCAGAAGGCATAGCTTCCTTATAGAATACAGCCCTCTGAAATTGTGCGAATCAATAGTAGGACCGAAGAAGACTTTGATAGGTAGTTAAACTTATAGTGAAACTTTACCGTATCGCTTTACGGGTATTTGTAGTTTCCACAAATAGTTCTAACCAATTCTAAATTTTTTCGAGTATAAGCATAAAGAGGTTATGAGATCATTTTTAGAGAAAAACTTTAAATTTTAGAGCTCGATTTTCAGGTCGAAAACGAAATTGACACTTTTAGTTTTCGGTACAAGTCTGGCCACCGAAAGTATTAACAGTGCGCTGGGGATACCTTGTATCCTACCGGGAGGAATTCCGTTTGGTAAAAGAAAACGGCAAGGCTTTCAGCTCTGATCATCATTGACGATCATCGAGCATCGTTAGAGGTGATTGAATGTACATCTGTTCTAGATAACGATTTTCGGTGGCCTATCGACGTATCAGGTCGGTGCTGCTATCCCCACAGATAAGTATGCTACCAATTTCCCGACCTCGGGGGGTTGGAAGACTTGATGAACTTGGGGCGCAGAATCAAACCAACGAACGCGTGTGCATTGCAGCTACCTCTAGTCACTGCAATACAGCTGTCCTATTTGCTTGTCTAGCTGCTTTTCGTCGTCTAATTTGATCAATATTTCGGTAATGTAAGCCTCGTAGAAAAACGGGAATATGAGGGCTGTAAAGATTCTTAATGCTACCATTATAGAAGAAAACACTCGTCTTGTTGGCGAAGACTGTATACTGCGTTTTTTTGAATTTCAATCCCAGCCCTTACAATAATGAAGTATTGTGAAGCATTTCTGAAAACTCCCTTAAGGTAGAACCCGGCACGGCTAATTTATTACGTTATTTATGTAAAATCTATCATTAACGATGAACATCTGAAATATTCAAGCACTGGACTAGGGTCGCTTCGTTCTTCTTTCTTCGTTTTTCGTTTGCCAGCTTATTGTCACTACATTCATTATTCCAACACACAGAAACCTAGCACACTACTGCTGTCTACGCTAAGCCCAGGTACTAGTCAAAATTGATTCTTCCTAGATTTCGAACAGTGGTGGCGCAGTGGTCGGAGGCGCCCTGCAACGCACACGTGGAATCGTTCCCAGCGCCCATGGCCCACCAAGTCTTCCATCCCTCCGGCTGGCTCGATGCATCGGTAGGCCACCGCGAGTCATTGTGAAGGCCAGATATGCATTCAGTCACCACCAGACGATGCTTAATGAAGTCCAATGCATGGCGCATCCCTCAAGGATTGATCAAAGCGGGAAGATTTGTTCTTTTTTATTTCGAGCAGGTACTCTTTCTAATTAAGTTCAACTACAAAATTTCAGACTGGTTCTTACTAGTGGTCTTGTTGTTTAGTTTGCTATTGCTTGTGCTGCTGTAATACTCTATATTGCTAGTCAACAAACAGCTATGAACTTTTATTCCCGATGTATGAGGTAAGTTTTTTCGATATACTCAGCATATTTTTGTACGACATATATATATAATTTATCATTGGGGTTCACGTGCCTATAGGTCAGTAGCACGACTCAGAAAAAAGCGGAACGAAGGACTCGCGTGGTGTGGTGGTGAACGCGTTAGCCCCAGGAAAGTAATAACGCGTTCGTTCCCCACCGCAGACACCAGCGATTCGGAGTTTTGGAAATATCTCAGCATCGTTATGGTTATATATATAATGTTTGTCGACAAGTGCATTGCAAAAGTTCATAGCTTGCTTCGACACATTGTTTTTTCACGTTAATTTTAAAACTCATTAACAGCGCGAAATGAAAGACCGCTTCTTCTGGATTTGATATGGATCCTTAGACTCCACTTTTCCTCGTGGCTCAACAAGTAGTTGCTCTCCAGTCGGCTTGGATGAAAAGGCNGTACGGATATTCCGAACCATTGATTTTCACTGTTTTTTAGTTGCTTCTTCTGAAGTGCTAGATTGATTCATCTAATGAATTTGATTTTAGAATGTTAGAAAAGCAATGTACCTCCGAAATTATCTCAAAAATTTGACTCGACAGGGGCAAGCGCAGTTTTCCCTCCATGAACAGACGTCTGGCTTTATCCACATCTTGCATGAAGAACACTTGAGAAAATAAAGTGTACAAATTACTGAAACGATGTATCGTTCAATGCAAGAATGGAGTCAAGCCATAGTACACAAAAAATCCTCACAGCGAAAATCAGCGATGTTCATTCTTTTCTAACACCTAACTTCCCAGTACCCACCAATGTCGTCGCGGATGTGAAGACACGTTTTTGAGTTGAAATCTGCTACTTACAGTAGGGAATAGATCTGTCAGTAGTAAAAAGGAAATTGAGAGCGAGTTCAACATCGCCGTTCGGAGGCCCACCTCAGGGCAAATATCAGCCAGGTAAACTCACTGCGGCTGCATTCTTGAGGAAAAAAACGGTGGAACAAAAATGTTCTGCCAAAATATGCATGAAGCAAGCAGCATACACTTAGTCGCTCCGAAGTATCACAACAAAGTGAGAGATTACTGGCTCCCGCTTGTTCTGCTTCAATGTCAACGTAATGGTGGATGCTATGAACGTGGCGAGTACAGACTGCACGGAATACAGTCTTTATGACGAAGCGCAACGCGCTAGAGGGGAGAACTCGTCGATCAGCATCCACTCGTCAGGTAGCACAGTACGACAGCCTTCTTTAATCCTCGTCCGCGGTATTTTTCATAGGCATAAACATAAAATTTGCATGAACAGATTACTAGCGATAACTGTTTGAACCAAACTGGTCTGGTGTACCTGGAGAACAAAGTAATCAGGAACTGTTGTAAGTTTAGCAAGCTAACATAAAACTTTAGCAACCATTTTGCATTTTTTAGTGCAGAGCCTTAACCCTTCTTCGAAAACAAATAAATTGGTCAGTGCCCTCTTCTCTAAGAGATTTTGCGGAGATCGATGCAGGACGAGAGAAGGTTCTTGCAGAACATCTCTACCAGCCAACAATTTTCTTGTTTCATTGAGAAATTGCAAGCCAATAGATGGTATTACACTCAGGAGTGGTGCGACAATTTCGAACAAAACTGGCCTGTACACGTCCTTTTTCACTTTATATCAATCTGCCAGTGAAGTGCTTCATTATTGCAGTACATCGACTGAATCGTGTTCACTGAAAGTCGAGCACATTGACATCAGAGTGAAAAAGTACAGCAGTGGGGGCAAATATCGAAGGCCTGACGCCCAGTGTGCAGCTGTTTCAGAAGTTCGTACGAGTTTCTCTCTGATCCTCAAACGCCAAGGAACTACTGTGAAGCAGTCAGTCGTTGAAGGACCTCCAATCAGTTGACCCTGAAGCAAGATGTGGTGACTTTTCCGACGAGACATGGTCATTCTTTGTTTCTGAGTGGATGTTCTTCTTGTGCAGATCATCATCTGGTGCTGTTTCTCAAGACTCAAATGATTCTTATTCTTTATTTTTGGTTTTTCCTCATGATTCTTGTTCCTAATCACTCTTGAAAAGTTTCTCTTTCGTTGCTGGCTGATACAGTATTGTTAGTGGTTATAATTCTTATTATTATGTCGGCTTCCGTTGGGCACCAGTGGAAAGCAACGCGAAGGATGTCTTTCTTACCTAAAGTCATTACTCATACTTGACCGGAATTCAAGTCACAGTGCATCTGAACATAACACCAATGCAATGTTAGCTGACGTTATAAATTACCTCGAGAGGAATGCCTGTCGAAATGGCCGGTTTGGACAATCTGCTCGTCATTTGTCCAATTTCAATAACGGTAGCGTTGCATCCGGGCTTCAACCATGTGTGAATCAAGTGAAGGCCGAAGCGACACCTGTAGTTCTCGATTCTCCCTACCTTCGCCCCGATGTTGTCTCTAACGCACGTGACCTCTACCTTAATAATTATGCAGAAAGCGCTACAGTACTGTTTACCAGGAGTGAAAATCCGCTAGTAAGCAAACTTAGCCGAAATGAGAACGTATTTGTTCTGAAAAACTACCCAGACGGCACGCTGTGAAGATACGTAGAGGTCACGTGCCTTTCGTGTTCAAAGTGGACGATTTAGTTCTTCTCACTCACCAGTGTCGTACACGAAGTTTATGGGAAAGTTTAACAAAAATGGAAAATAAGTCTTAATAGGTAAAGTTGGGGCTTTTCTTTTGGAAATGGTTTCCGTGATGCTAGAGACTGTTTTCTGAAGTCTCTGTCATACACCTAAACATTTGGCGAGTAGAGCCAAATGGTTGGATAGACGAAATCATTGGCATACATGTCATTGCAGCGATACCTGTGAGTACTATGAAGATGAACTGTCGTCATTTGTCACCTGCCTGCGACTACATAAGTGAAATAGAACTTTTACTGAAGCAGCCAGCGAAGATATGCGCAACCGTCTGGGGCACTGATCCAATTTTTCGCTCCTCTCCATTGAATATGTGCATCTGTACCAGCATTGCACCACTCTTGGTTGAAAACATGCATTACTCTGTTTTCAGCATTCATGTTATAGGATTGTATTGCTGTCGGTTGAGGAAAGTTGTTTTCTGATGTTACAGTAGCGGGAATGGTTGCGGCAACACGGGAGAATAAGAAGACCAAACAGGAGAACTTGGGCGAAGATGAGAAGAAGGACGAGATGGTATGTGCAGGTTGTCGACAAAGGCATTGTTGGTTTTGCATATTTCAATATGCCAGTGTGCTCGATTAGTACCCATTTCGATTTGCAGACAGAGGAGGATAAAAAGCTCGAGGAAGACCTCAATATGCTCGTGCAGCGTCTGACTGTGGGCACTATTTTCGCTTTGCATGTTTCGTTTTTATTATATGGTACATGGTAATGAGGCGCAGACATTTTTCCTTTAGGAAAATAACAGTACTCTCCACCAACCGTCGCTGGAAACTATGCGTTCTCTGATTCGTTCATCAACCACATCTATGACTTCCGTCCCGAAGCCACTTAAATTCATGCATCCCCATTTTTCAAAAATGAAGCAGGTGTTCGAGAAAATGCAGCCAGGACAAACAAAGGTACAGCAAGTGATGTATGTTCGTGCTGCATTACATGTTTGGTACTTTACAGAGACTCTGTGCCGACATCATTTCGGTCCTGGCCATGTGTTCCGATGAGAAGAACGATTGCATCAATTTTCGATTGATGGTGTGTTTGATTTAGGACATAGTTCACTTTCACTTTTCCTCCTTAAGTTCTGTCTCCTGTTACATTTACGCTCTAAAATCAGCTTGTCTAGGGAATGCATGAGCCGATTGGTGACTGGGGTCATGAGTACGTTCGCCATCTTGCCATGGAATTGACAGACGAGTGGAAGAAAGCATCTGACGGTTCAGAAAAAGGCAAGGTTAGGTATGTGTGCCCCGATTTCTTGTTAGTGTGAGGAAAAACTAGAAGTCGTAATTCCTAGGCACATGATTTTTTAAAAGCATTTACCGGTGCATGCATGTACTTGTATTGATAGGTGATAAGTCGTCACCCTTAGTCTCTTTTTGCCGAAGTCAACGAACTAGTGGTACAGAGTGCCACTGCATAGCACTCGTGTCTTCTTCTGGTCTATTTTCTTTCTGTGATGTGTTTAATGTACAATTCATAACCACGGTGACGCTTGGATATTTGCGAAACTCCGGACAGCAGGTGTCGGCGGTGGGGAACGAACGGGCTATTGCCATTTCTGGGAGCTAACGTGGTCGTCACCACAGTTTCTACAGTGTATAGTTGCGAACAGTTTCCCTAATTTCAGCTGAGCAATGGTTTTTCAGCAAACATATCAGAGAAACGAGATTAATATTTAGTAATTCTTACGTTAGGTTTTGAAATCCAGAAGTTTCAGGAAGTGTTCGCAAATCAAAACTGTGTGTTTTTCCTAAGTGTCCTTTTTCTAGGCGGAATGAACTTCTTATGCTTGCAAAGGATATCGTTACGCACAATATGAAGCACAACGCAGAAGTGCGTTTGGTTTTCTGTTCAGTTAATCGAGTTCTTTGACAGCATGGAAATTCTGAAAGGTCTAGGTCGATGCATGTGATGGTAACATGGTAACACTGACACACTAACACTCACTGACATGGTAACATTGGAGTTTTTCATCCATTTGGAGGAGTGGGAACTGAGCGAGTTACAGGAAATGGTGTTGAAGGCATTCAACTGGGAGGAAAATGCATAGCACTCGTAAACTAGTGTGCATGTCTAGTTAAAAAGATTGAAATCATCGCAGTACGTGTAAGATATCGCTTACTTATTAATCACCTGATGGAAGTGGAGGAGTGGTGCCTTCAAGCGGTGATGTGTTGACCTCGGAAACAATGCGATGAGCCTGCCTGCAAAGATGATACATCTGCTTTTGCTTTTCCTACTTGCTACTCTTCTCGCTTTTGCTTTCCAGACGGAGATTGTTCCATTAGCGACTCCTAAATAGTATTCTGAAGAATATTCAAGCAGGGTGATGAAATACCATAGAAAATCCTTTGCACACTTTTTGATGGTGTCGTTGGCAAATTGCGAATAATCCCCTTTGTAATGTGAAGTAGCCAGCCATAGCTTACGTCAGCTACTGTAGCTGCTAGCGAGGAAATCCCATGTTTTTAAATCCTATGAAAAGTTCATTTCACATAAATTATTCTTCTGTTGCGGCACAGTCGAACATTCATAAAATAGCCAGTTTATTAATATTCCTTCCACGTAAACGTTGGTGTTGATGAGGAAGGAGTACGATCATTTCAAGTAACTCAGTAGAAGTTTTCCACCGCCTGTGGTTCAATAACACACTCTGAACTCACTAAGCCTTTCAACTCTCCGGTGTCGGAAAATTGCTGTGGTCTTGTAACTGAGGAGAAAGTAGCACTCATGTGATAGATCGGTAGGGCACCATAAGTCACTGTATTGGGTATATATGCATAGAATTACCGCTAACTATGCTTAGAGAAGTCGAAGTCTGACATGTTCCTCAGGTAATCATCAACACCAGCCACTTCATTCTTTATCCCTTTGTGAACCCTTGTCAACTATGAATCTTCAGGACACTTTTTTCGTGAAGCGCATCGAATGGAATTTAGAAATGAGCACCGGAAAACAAATGTTTTCTTTTAGATGTCCCGTCTTCACAAGAATCCCAGTGCTTCCTTTATTTGATTCGTCTCCATGCATCCGTCATCCAAAAAGGTCTTCGAATTTTACGTATGGTGATCTGCTTAGTTATCCTGGCGTTTTCCTGAGGTTTGCTGAGTCAAGGGTGTGTCGCTGACCACAGGTGGTGAAAAACTTCTTATTTCGAGTTACTTGAAATGGGCGCACTCTTTCCTCATCAACACCAACGTTTGCATCGACGGAGTATCGATAAACTGACTATTTAATGACTGTGCGATAATGTTGCAACAGGAGAATAATTTTTGTGAAATGTATTTTTCATAGGATTTAAAAACATGAGTTTTTCTCGTCAGCATTTACAGTAGCTGATGTACGATGTGGCTGGTTACTTTGCATTACAAACGAGTTTATTCACAAATTATCAGTGACATCAGAAAAGCGTACAAAAGAGGCCAAATTAAAATACAACACGCATTTTTACTAGCACCCACACATCTGCATTTTCTGATTAGTAAAAACTGTCTTAGTGAGAAATGATCAGAATCACATGTCTCCTGGCCCTTGTTTCGACTGCAGTGTTCTGCTCTTGTTTCCCACCGTCGGCTCATGTCGCCTAATTGTGCTGCGGATTCGGGTAATGAACATCAGATTCTTCGTAACTGTTTAGGTGTAAACTAATGAAAATAAGGATCTCGACTGTTTTCTAATTTTTTTTTGCTAAAATCTAGGCGTAATTAAGGTGCTACAACTTACAGTTTACAAGTAAGTCATCACAAGACTTTTGAGTAAACCTTACCAAGCGAGCAATGAAACTAGATTCGACAACTTTAATTTGGTCACGAACCATTTCTGAATCCCCTCAATACATTTCGCTGCCTTTATAGAAACACTTTCTTACTGAGTTCATTGTTTCGCTATTTATTATCTTTTTAGTATCTCATGTGAAGGTAACTTCCTTCCGTGGATCCGGCAACAATTCCATGTCTGACTCGCTCTACGGACTCGAGCATATCGAAGTTTATAAGGTTCTACAAAACTTTTTTTGGTCTGAAAGGCTCAATTATAGAATCGACACGAAATTGAATCTGTTTAGAAGCCTACTGATTTCCTTCCACTTCCTTCTGTTGTGTACACAAAGTCTACTGAAGAAGCGTGTGGTCTTGAGATCGAAGTTGGAAAAGAATACCTTCTACCAATTAGTGTTAATACTGCTTATGTGGTTGGAATTTATTTAAGACTTTCAAAAAATGGTTTTTTGGAAAAGAAAGATTGCGCACAAAGTACACAAAAAGGGGGATTTTTTTTTGCAAAACTCCAAGATGATTCATTCTCACCTGTGTACACAGTAGTCCAGCTTAAGTGGTTCTATCAACAGGATTTAATTACAAAAGGTAAAAGAATAACGCTTCCGACTTTGATCAGTTCTTGAGAGACTCACTGTGCATTCGACACTGCCAAGCGTCACTAGAGATGATAAAGTGCATATCTGGCATTTAGAATAACTACCCTACCAATGCGTGAGGTATGTGCTGTTTTCCGCCCTGAGAGGTGTCGTACCAATGTTCCGGTCCTGGAGGGTGGAAGGCTTGGTGACACCGGTGTGCCAGATCGAACCAGCGATGGGTCGGTCTATTATGTCCTGCGGCGCTCCTCTAATTACTCCGCTTCATGAGCTCACTACTTTATAGGTAACCTAGAACTAACGTGACTGAAACACCGACTTTTTTCTGCTATAGAAAACAGTGGAATTGTTTCAGTGGCAAGTAATATTTATTGGTATGAACTAGAACTCAAGTGTACTTTTTGTTAAACATCGTGCGGTTTAACGTTTTGTTTTCTGCCTCCTATAATTTTCATGGCAGGTTACTAAGGGAAATTCAACCACAACGTTACTGACACCTGCGGTCTAGAGTTTTGCAAATATCTCAGCAACGTTGTGATTGTGCGGTTTGTTAGAAAAAAGTTTCATTTAAGTTGGGTGTGCTACACAGCAGCATCCTTATTTTATTTTGCATTGTACAAACCAAACTAGTAGTACGAAAAAATGAGCATGATAAGGCATGGGAACGTAATTGATGATTCAGGATATCGAGTCAGAGGCAACATACACGTGTATCATTGTGGTCAGGTGAATGACAGGTACCTTGTTGGAGCAACTGAATTGCACAGCGTGTCACCGGAATTACAAACAAATCTTATGAGATATCAGTGCTAAATTCTATTCTTTTCTGAGCATAATAAATATGAGTAGCATTGTCGTTTTGGTTGTTGGGTGAGCAAAACTTCACATCGCGCAGAAGAGCATATCCAAACAGCCGATGTCCTAACACAACGGTATATCCATCATTCAATCGCCAGAGGTTAGGCAATCATTCACAGCTGACTCGAATGAAATGTGAAATGTGATGCGAAAAAGTATTATCAGGGGTTTTCGGAAGCTCAGATGGTTTCTGAGTAAAGCAACATGCAAACTGATATTTTGCTAGTGTTTTTTCACTTTCCTTAGAAAAAAAATCCTCATGTACTACAGTAGATGAAACTAATCAGTTGTTGACGAGTAACTTTCTTAATATTACACTGTACACAGCCAAGGGATAAAAATAACAGTGGAAGGATTGCGACTTGGTAGTTAAAAAAGTAGTTGCCTTCTTTTTAGGACACATGGCCGGTTAAATAATCAGTCAAATGATGGAATTTCACAGAAAGGCGATGAGAAATAAGAACAGTAAGCAGTTATAAGCAGTTGATGGTAGTATATGTCGTATTAGTAAGCGATCGAATTGTTTGTGATACTTTCCGCAATGTTGTTTTTATCAAGGAAAAGATATTAACTCCATTGACACCAATTGTATCCTTCATTAAGAACGAGATAGATTTCAAAGTGATAGCATGTCTATAATTGAAATGAACTAATGTGTGTCTGGATTTTACTTATATGACACTTCTTAGCTGTCATAAACACATATCAGCCGAGCTACACTTTTTCCTATAAAGGCGTAGAGGGAAGGCAAAGTAGAGAAACTGCATTTGTTCTATGCAGTTCTTCTTCACTGATTCTTTTGAATACGGAACTTTTTGCCGCTGTTCAGAGCTTGTCCAACATAGATTTTAATTCAAGCATGACCCGTAAAAGCTGTTGTCTATAATTAACAGTTTGTTGAAAATCGTTTTCTGGACGAATTCATTCTGCGGCACGAGACTATTCCTGTTGAGGAGAGCATGTGCCACAGACTGCTGATCATGAAAGGATGAAGAAATGTATGGGGTGGAGCACTGCATTCAATATAATTGGCGAAATACTTCCATATGCTGAGAATAATGTGTTTGATTGGTGAAATATAGCATAATGCAGGTGATATTATTATAAGATGAGGACTAAGAGATTACAAAAAACAGGTTACAATGATGCAGGAAAGGATTAGAGTGCAGTTCAATAAAACTCGTTACTATGACCCCCTTATCGCTTCTTATGCTGCCGTTCTTAATCGTAATAACTGAAATATGTGTTCTTTATGGGGCACCTGCCACACTACACGCCCACGTGGGTATAAGGTGATAGAATTGGAGCCCGCCTTTTAATTGAACCAGTTAAAAGTCTCACTGGTAAACTCTATCTTATTAGATTTAGTAGGGATGATAAACTACCTTTTCGTTTATTTCCTTCTGTCTCTGTCTGTTTTGACATTTTATGTTCAGCCGAAGCTAGAGACAATCTATTTCATTCTATACCCAGTTTGTTGGGTCGGTGAGGCAACCATAACCTGGAGCGTATACGCGGTTTCAAGATTTACTGCTTTAGGTCTAAGCCATAACTTTACAGGAACGTCATCTAGAAATTGCATTTCCTGTCTCAGCTACCATGCACTGCACAAGGTTCCTCCGGAGTTTTCCAGATCTACCCG